TTCTCTTCATTCGAATGTTTAAGCACAAAAGTACATGGTGATGCGAAAGCATAGCTCGAGCTAAAATGGTTGAGGAACCTCAGGAAGCTTTGTTTGGACCCGATGCGACAAGCCATTCAGATATCAGATAATAAATGGTGAGTGTTGATAGAAAACCGAACAATACGGTTTTCTGAATGTAACGTCTACGCCGCCTATTGAAGAGTTAAATGATCTTGAGGTCTATCTGGGCCGAACGTTTTATAAGATATTGTTTTCTATTTTCAAAATATTGTTATACGAACTGCTTTTATTTTTTTAGTAGTCTGAGCAACTCATTCCATATAATATGAAGAGGGCACTCCCTTGATGTAGAGAACGAAGAAGAGAGATGTATTAAGAACTGTTGTGGGATTTGAGAACACTTTAGTGTTAATAAAAAAATTTTTTTTTTTATTAATTAACGCTTTTGTTATATTTACAACACCGTCATTGCATTCGACAGCAATGCTTGATAATATAAAAAAATGTAAGATAAGGTAATTTATGTAAATAAATTAAATATGAAAAAGGAAAACTACGGTTTTCTATCCGCACAGAATCTATAATCGAATATTATATTATTATATATAATATAATTTTTTTTAAATCTGTGAGACTTCATCAACCACAGAATAGACTAAAAATAGAAAAAAAATCTGTTTTCAAAATATACAATATTTACTCAGAGAATACATTGATATCGCGACATTTTGAAAATCGAACTATTAAAATTTTACAACCTGGCAACATTGTGATAAAAATTATAAAATGTAAAATAAGACATTCCACAATTCCACGAACATATGTCTATTCATTGATAAAGATTAATAGTTTTTATTCATTCATTTTTAGAAAAGTTTATGGCGCGGAATGAACAATTTGCTGAAGCAACCTCTTTATTGTGTCCTGCAAAGGGCGTGACCGCGCGGACACAGAATTGTGCTTAAAAATATTATGAGGTGCATATCCAAATATTTACTTGGAAGAAATCTTTTATTCGGTAGAATACAATAAAAGTTTGTTTAAATTTAGTTTGCTGGGTTAGTATTGTGTTGCTTCTATGTATTGTATTTAGGTATTAAGTAAAGAAATGGCCATTGGTATATTTAAACTTATTAAAACTACAAGTTGTTGCTCAAAAATAATAATCATTATCTTATACATTTATTATGCTAATAATTAGTGGTCATACTGAAAACTCAGAATACATATTATTTTGTAATCTCTACACATTACAAAACAGTCGCCTTTTCTAATAAGTTTACATCGCTCCCCGCTGTCATAAAATAGCTACGCATAAAGTAATGACGTTAGATTAGATTGGAGAAACCAACAAATATTGATAAATAGTATTGTCAGGTAATCATACCCAGAGGAGTCAATGAGACAAATAGCATGAAGTGTATATTATTTTACACTAATTTAAATAATGTTTTAATTCTTAAATTAATTCTGAACTATTATTTGGGCGACTTAAACCTAAAACCTTCCATTGTATTATGATGAGTTTTATTATATTAACTATCTAAATGAATACCGCGAATGAACTTTTTGCGACATCTATACATTCGTAATAGTATTATATTATATGTATCAGCGCCACCTATTTTCTTAATACATAGGCAACTTAAAGTAAAATCTCTTATAATGTAAGTGTTCCTTTGTTTGACTTGTTACTAAGAGTATAAACTAGGTGGCGCTGTTAACAATTTAAATTTCTAAATAACACGGTTGATAATAATAGATGTCACTAGTATTTTCATCAGTCCAGTAATTTAATTTTTAAATTCTAAATTAATAGTACTTCAATAAATAATTAAAAAAAATAGTTACTTTTGACTAGCATTAGAAATAAAATTTAGGTGGAAGTAACATAGGAAAGGAAACATTCAGGCAACGCCATCTATCCATATTTCGTAATGACGCATATAAGGAACGAGGCGCGCATTTTCAAAATCTGTTGTCTATAGAGCTGTATTTTGTAATCTGTTGCTTTGAATAAAATTTACCAATTTAACTCTTGTATTTATACGTGACGCTGGCTAATGCACAAACCGTGCCAGAGCCATAAAGGAAAAAAAAACTCTTGTATTTTAAATAAGATAAGCTTGATAAGAAATTGGTTTACAGCTTTTGTCAAAGCGTCCCGTAGCTTAAATGTAATTATTAAAGTTTTAGCTTTGCTAAAATATGACGCTGATATTGATATCGATAAAAAAACTTTCTTCTTTCATAAACTTATCATTCACAGGGTTTCCAGTGTTAAGATAAATGTTTACATATGATTTTCATCTGTACCTATATGTAAAACCAGAATTACGTTATAAAAAAATATAATCATTGTTGATTGACATGTTTGATGGTGTACGGGCCTGGGTAGCGGGAAGCTGTATCCCAGATGCACTCTACCCTTGCTGGATTATGTAACGTTTGCTTTCACTGACAGCAGTATTAACAATGTTAAATGAAAGACGAGCCCTTGGGTCCGACTGTGATTGGTCAAAAGGAAGTAATATCATAGATATATACGAAGGAGTACCTACACAAGATCTGTTGAAACGATAATGCGGTTATAGGGCGTGCGCGCTTAAGTTTTACTGTCAATGCCAATATTGAGTGTAAGCCATCTAGATACAAAGTATGGTAATTATGCATGTTAAAGTCCATCTGACAATTGTCGCTCATTGACATTGACAGCGATGTAGCACGAGAAAAGAAAGAAAAGGTAGGGAATATTGATACTCTAGAGTTAAGCTCTATGTAAATGGTATCTTGATGTTTTATTTTCCTCTATACTAAAGAAATTATGTCAAGTAATATTGATGGAAGCAGCGTTGACCTATTGGTATGACCGAGCGGCTCGTTTGTTTTCCAAGTCCACCTATGCTACTACAATGAAACTCAACATCGTGAACTGGCGTGATCTAGGCTGATTTTCAGAATTGACATTTAGGGCTAAGTGTGACTCATGACTGATTTTGACAAACGGGAGTCATAGTTTCTGCCTAGTCTCGTTTATAAATGTAATGTTTAACCTAACCTAACCTTGTTTATTCTTGTCTTTAAAAATTATCAAAGAAACAATATATTTTATCTGTCATAAAATCACATAAAATATAGATGAATTTTAAATGTTTAGTATTAATAAGTTGTAGTATTTTTCGGTTTCAACTTCAGAGTCATGTTGTAATAACACTTCTGCCTCAATGCAAATTCATTTAAATGGGTGCTGTTTAATGATTCTAATCGTAATTTTATTGTCCTTTTGTAAACCTTACTATGCGGGGCGGAGATTGAATTACGCGTTATTGTTAATATTATTTTCGACTTTCCAGTACTATACACCACATAATGATATATTTTAGGTATAAAGAGTCACTGGACGGTCACGAAACGTTTTACTATTGGGTAAAGAAAAGGTTACGGCGCGTTACATGGGGGAGGGTCAATAATCTCGAAAAATGAAGTGACGTAATACTTGAACGCTCCCTTACGGCTGCTATAGGACTATTATTTGGTTACTTTAAAATATAGAATGTTCTTGTTATTATTGTTTGTGACACGTGCCCCGTAACCCGGCAACTCGTAGAAGCAACAAGTCGCCCGTAGCGGCTCCACTCGTACTATCAATGATCGTAGCATTTTTCCCGCGAGCTGTCTTACGGAGGCGTGGCGCCCCGCCCAGCCAAGCACACGCCCCCACGTCTTGAGATCTAGTCGAACAAACCACATATTCAGAAACATGTCAAAACAGACTAAAAATAATTCTAACATGAAATATAATTTGCATCACAATAGTTATCTGTTTTAATGAACCGGTCGGTATTTTCCTTAATTTTGTGGTAATTACGTATTATCAAATATCCCATTAGTGTTTATTCGCTAATTCGAAAAACCATTAATCATGAATGTGGTTAATATCTTTAGTATAATTAATAATGTGGTATTTCTTGCACAACTTAGTTAAAAACTATCGTATTAGATAGAAAGATAAATGTAGAAAGTCGCTCTTTGATCGTCGATTCTCCGTGTCAAAATGAAAAAGCTCATTATTTCAACAATGAAACTAAAAAATTTAATGGTACAAAACTTTCACGCATCCCGCTCGCACGTGTTTACATCGTATTTGGGTAAGCGAGAGGGCGAGTCATTTTGCCGGCAAATGAAGCGTGGCCAGACCACAGATTGACCGCAGAGAATGGAGGCAACGAGTGACAGAATGGCGTCGATTCAGTAGTATAGAGTCGCGCGGGCAGTGAACACGTGCAGCCTCCGAACACGCGCTGACTCATCAAACAACACGCGACGCGGTAAATACCTGTGGCACACTACGCAAGTCTACGTTTTTTAGAACAGCTATAAGAATTATTATAAGCGGCGCTGACGCATGGGGAAATATCTGTATCAATAATCAGCTGATATTGACAGAGCGCGAAAACACGTGAGATCCGCTTACTATGATCAACTTTACTTACAAAAATTAATTTCGTGACTCATTATAAAATGACGAAAGTTAAACTGAAACAAAAGATATTTGTATTACGATAGTAGTTTTTTTAAAGTGATAAAAAAATCGATTGTAAATTTATAAACCAGTAGGAAAATACTATGATCTCTCGAAAAGTGATTCAAAAGTTTGTTGTTTAAGTGTAGAACAATATACAGGAAAATAGTTGGATCAGAGCCAAACGTGAGGCTTGTTTTTGTATTGAAAACAATAAATTAGTCATCGGATTAAGGACATACGAAGAAAGTAATCCTATATAAAAGTGATACATTATTTGTCAGACCATTTATTGTTCCGTTTGATGGTAGTATCGTATAATACCATCCTTATAAGAAAAGGGGCAGTACTACAAAAAATACCTTGCTAACTAGATCTATCATCAGACATTTGTTAAATACTTCTGAAAGGTATAAGTGTCGGAGGAGAATAGATTACCACTAGGCAAATTGTGGAGGGCAAATGCGGGTGTAAGATGCACCTACCATACGAGTCGCGGGGTCGTCGCCGGCGCGAGATGGCTGAAAGCGAGCCCTGGTGGCTGCAGTCCATCATTGATGAGACCCTTGGAGAGCACCCTGATCTTGGTGAGCGATGTGCTGGATTATTCGTTTAGTCTAGTTTATTGGTCTAACTATTCATTTAACCATAACAAATAATAACGAATGTTACTTAACGATACTTGAACTTAAAACTACAACCTTTTCGACAGTGGAGTGTAGACAATGACTGTCAGTTACATAATAATAAATTCCAAATACAAAATACGTTAATTAATAAGTATGTATAACATAAAGTTAATCTTAGATAAGAACGAAACACAAACACAACTTTAGAAGTTTGGACTTTCTTAAGTATTTAATTTAATCGAAAACGTTCCGAAAACTAATTGAAATAATATTAATTTGCTTTAGTTTGTTACTTAACAAATAAGGTAAATATTAACTATAGGAATTTATGATTAATCTTATAAATATATGTATATATCAATCAAGTAAACATTCAGAAATCTGAGACCAAAACCAAGTATAAAGAACCTTCTACATAGCCAAAGTCAGTCACCAAATGTGTCTTGGTAGACCGCATCCATTTCTTCGATAATTTTTATTTTATAGACAAGTTCAGTAGTGATCAACTTTCTGTGTCACATGTACACTTTTGGGTTAAGACTTGCTATTTACCTCGTGATGTTTGCCTTTACCGTAGGAGCTAGTGCTAATTACGTATAGAAAATTCCATTGGCACAGCCGTGATTCGAACGCAAGACCTCACTAGGCCAACACTGTTCTCACTAAAAATGTAGCACTTCAATTGTTTCAAACTTTTTTTTTATGGCTCTGGCACGATTTGTGCATTAGCCAGCGCCAAGTATAGGTTTTTTTTATAATTCGTGCTTTGTCTTTACATTTTGACCGTGTCCTCCATGTACGGTTTAAGCACTCGCCCGGTACCGCACAACCCTCCCAAAGGCCGAGAACAAATTTAAATTAAATTAAAACTTGCCCTCGAACCGGGAATCGAACCCGGTACCACTCACCTAGCTGCCACTTAATAAGACCGCTAGGCTATGAGGCCCCCAAATTTCAAACTTTGTTGTTTGTTTATTTCCATGAGCCATAGATAATAAATTTCATCGATCGGTATACCTATAAATCAATTATAATTTAAAGATGTGGTTATGGTTCCGGCTTCATTAATAAAAACATAATTATAAGTTGCCGACTAAATATAACGTGTAAACGAAATATCCGTGTTAATGAACTTATATATGTAATTATATTTTTAAAATAACATATTATTTTGTTTACGATTTGATTAGAATACGAACCATACATATAAGCTGGATGTGTATACAACAGAGAATATACAAATTTGTATTCTCTGTAGATAATTATTAAGATTAGTATTCGTTTAATTGTCTATGATTCGAGTGTCCGTTCTATTTGAATTTGAAATTGTCAGTGTTAAGCTGTCTAATTCATTAGCGCGATCTTCAAATATTTTTTCATTTGCAAAACACGGATGTGTTGTGTTGTTACCCGGATACAATTAACTCATCATTTATTGGCACTGTCTCCACAGATAAGGCAAAAGTTAATACGATTTTTTATTCATATTCACAAAAAGCACATCCTTATGTCGTTCATTAATTTTTTTGACGCCGACGCTAAGGCAAGAGTTGTTATCATTTCGGACTTACGTTAGTAACAAATTTAGTAATCATTATCATACTTTTTGCTTAAATGAGACTCAGTAATTAGGTACATAATAATCAGTTATATGAAACTTCTTTGTATGTAATGTATATTTGTATTAAACATCACCTTGCTAGACTACAAAATAACACTATATCTTTCAAATGTAATTTGTTTTTAAATGTATTACTTATGTAAAGTTGAATATATGTACGAAAAATCTCATCCACTAAATAATTAACACTATTAATTCTATCACTTCTCCTTTACTGTGCAAAGTATCGTGCTATGGAATTCCTTACCTATTGATATCAGACGAGCTCAGTCTTTAAATTTATTTAAAAATCTTCTTTTTGATAATTTCTCTTCTGCCTCGTAATTAGCTACTACTTAGGTATATATATTAAATTGTTACTCAATTAATCCTTGGATAAGCTCTTACATTTTTTATACATATTATTACTTTTTTTTTCTTTACATTTTACTTTATTTTAGTTGTGGGTAGTGCTACATGTTTTGAGTTTTTTTTTTGTTATTATTTATGCACTTCTTGTACTTTACCCTCTGTAGGTGTTTTTTTTTTATTGTTCCATATTAGGGTTGCCTGGAAGAAATCACTTGTTAGCGATAAGGCCGCCCGTTGCCTAATAACTTATGTAACCTATAAAAAAGCTTGTGTTTGTTTTTGTATAAGGTAACGAAGTGTAAATAAATAAATATATAATTTTATTTCATAAATATTTGACACAAATCTACTGTATGTTAACCGTTACAATTTAGAATTAAGCCCTCTTCTTTATCGTTACAAAAATTATACTATAATAAGCGTTTCCGAACATTCTTTACCCAATCTGATGACACTTTCTCCTTTATCTCAAGTTAAAGAATGCGTATATAAAAGACATCAACGCATTCTTTATACAGCTTGATTTTAAATGGATTATAAACGTGGCTGGCTTGTCGACAAGGCCTATAACAATTAGCGCAACTGCGAGTAACCTGTGACTGAGGTGCACTTAGGGGAATGAGTATGTCCCGCCTAATGGTAAGCAGAATTTTCTGGACGGAAATTTACATTTAACTTTGTAGAAGCATGTACCTATACAACGAGAATTTGTAATCATTCTTCTAGAGTAGTCAAAAGTTTGGTTGTGGAACCAAATGGTAATAGCAGTTTATATTATTGTCTAGTTGTATCTGCATTAATTCTATATCCTATAGTCACTCCTTTATTAATGTAACTCTAATACAAAAATGATTACAACCAGGTCCTAATATTATGTATTTAGTGTATAGTAATTTTAGAGTTTTGTTTTCTTAATTTATTCGTGACGATAATTCAAATAGCTCTTGTTTGGTTATATTGGATATGTGATTAGTGTTGGCCTAATGGCTCCATCGTGCGAGTCTGATCCCTGACATCGTAGGTTCGAGCCTCGGCTGTGCATTAATGAATTATCTTTCTATGTGCGTATTTAACATTTGCGTTCACCCGAAACCGGCTTCCTTAGACGCAAAAAGTCGACGGCGTGTGTCAGGCACAGGAGGCTGATCACTTACATGCCTATTAGATTGACAAATGATGAAACAGATATAGAAATCTGAGGTCCTCGCCTAAAAACGTTGTAGCGCCACTGATTTAAAAAAAAATAATATTGAGGTTCTATATAAAGTTTATTGGGTTTACACTAAATATTCTAAGTTTCTATACAACTATCTATATTTGTCCACTATTTTGGTCCTGAAAATGTATTGGCGTCATGTTACTAACGCAATAGCTATGTTTAAAGGACACATTTAGTTATTTTATATGAATTGAATGCGAAATTTAATTTGATGAATATTAAGATGCAACTTTCAAACAGATAATATAAATGAAATACCTGAAGCGTAACATTGGCTTTCTAATGAAATCTAATAAGGGCTCATCCTACCGCATTAACTTATCACCTAAACGGTAATTTGTACATGTTTCCGTAAATATAAAGACCGCAGACTATTAATTTTTTTCATTATTTCATACTGTGATTTACGTGGAAACGTTAATCTGATACTTATGACACATGACCTTTTGTAACACAATTATTTTGTTAAATTGACGATTTACGTAGCATTTAATGATGTTGCTGGTGTAGGTCCCGGGTTTGATACTCGAGGAAACAATATTTGTTTTTGAAATAACCAAGCAACTAAATATAATATGTACTCCATGCTCTTTCAGAGATAATTAAATAAATCCTTTTCGTTGTTGATGTTGGTTTAATATAAGTACATTTATTATTTTCAGATGATATTCATTTAAAGTATTAATTATTATTTGTAAAAATTGCAATCAAGAAGTATGATAGATTAATATACAAATAAATAATGGTTAAATCAGATAATGAAGCACACTGCCTTATAATTCAATCTTCCATAACCAATCATAACAGTTTGCACTCCTCTTAAAGATCGAAAAGGACTATCCTCTAACTCCCCTTCAATATAAAAGCAGTATCAACCTTGCTGGCTTAGATTTAGCGATTCAGGGACTGGATTTTTCGCACTTGTATTGTCTGAAAAATGTGAATGAGGTAGCTAGGTTATTTAGAGACTTATTGACAAAACCTATTACCGATAACACCAAAGAGATAGTTGTACCCAGACGTAAAAGAATTATTAAACCCTGGGTGACACCTGGGCTCCTCAGATGTATGCGTAACATCCCTGTTAACCTAACCTAACCTAACCTAACCTTCACAAAAAACTTAAAAAGAACCCAGCTGACGAAATTTTAGCAGTGACATATAAAAGATACAGAAAATTCTGTAATTCGTTATTAAAAAAGGCTAGGCGTGCATATGAAAGGGATGAAATTAACAAACATAATAAAAATAGTAGGAAACTCTGGGAGACCATCAATAATATTACTCAATACAAAAAACCTAGATCATCATCTACAGAACTTTTAAAAAATTGTAATCCACAAGAAAAAGTAAACAGTGTAAATTCATTCCTTGCAAATGTGGGGAAAAACATTGCTATTAGCCTAGGTAATTATAATTGTAATTGCTCCTATGTAACCACCACACCACCCCCATTAAAAAATTCTCTTGTCCTCTTGCCCACTGACAAATCAGAAGTAGAGAGCTTGGTGATGAATCTGCGAGATAAATGTGCTGTTGGTAACGATATGATATCTGGCCGACTTCTCAAACAACATGTCAAAGTTTTGGTCCCACCCATCACTTACATATGCAACCTCTCCATGGAAACAGGTGTGTTTCCGGAAATCTACAAGAAAGCTCTCATAACGCCTATCTACAAGGGTGGTGACAGAAGCCTTGTAGACAACTATAGGCCTATCTCCTTACTTCCCATCCTGTCCAATATCTTGGAACGATTATTGAACAGGCGATTGGTTGATTTCCTCGACAAACACAATATTATTTCAGACTCTCAATATGGTTTTCGTTTCGGTAGGTCTACTGATGACGCAGTTCATAGCTTGACCGATTTTATTGTTAGGAATATGGACAGGAGAGAAAAAGTGATTGGTGTGTTCATTGACTTGTGCAAAGCGTTTGACACTGTTTCGGTAGAAATCCTCTTGCACAGAATGGAGAGGTTGGGCATCAGGGGTATACCTCACCAACTCTTCACGAGTTACATGTCTGAACGCACGCAAGTTGTGAGGGTGGGAGAGTGGACTAGCATCAAGTTACCTGTCACCTTCGGTGTGCCGCAGGGCAGCATTCTTGGGCCCACATTGTTCCTCATTTACATTAATGAATTATGTGGGATGAACCTAAGAAATGGAAAAATTGTGGCCTTTGCTGATGATGCAGCCTTAGTGTTCCATGGTCAAGATTGGTTTGAGGCCTTTCGACATGCTCAGCGGGGTCTGAATTTGGTATCGGATTGGCTACATCGCAGTTCTCTGGCCCTTAACACCGAAAAGACCAAATTCATGACCTTCGCAATGTCGAAACGTGACATTCCTGCTGGTCTGGCACTTGTGTCGCATGCTGGTTCATGTCTGACCGGGGAGCACTGCGGGTGTCCAAAGCTCAACTCCGCAGGCACAGTGAAGTACTTGGGAGTCATGCTAGATACCTATCTAAATTTCCAAGCTCATATTGACCTACTGGCAGGTAGAATTAGATAACTGATTTATGTATTCAAAATTTTGAGGCACATTGCTAATAACACAATTATAAAAACTGTCTACCTGTCGCTAGGTCAATCCATTCTGAGCTATTGCATCTCTTCTTGGGGTGGCTCAGCAAAAACCCACCTTCTGAAAATAGAGAGAGCTCAGAGGGCAATACTCAAGGTTAGTGCCTCCCTTCCCTTCATTTGTCCCACCACAGAGGTATACAGACATTGGAAGGTACTCTCTGTGCGTCAAATGTTCATTCTTGCCACAATTTTACGCAAGCACTCACTTATCAATTATGACCAACACCTTAAAGATAACAAGCGTAGAAAAGGCATAGTGTGCACTTCAAAGCCCTATCGCACAAGTTTTGCCCAGAATCTCTTCTGTTTTTTGGGGGATTACTTGTATAATAAGGTCAACTCTTCCGTTTCCACATATCCCCTAACTAAACATGAGTGCAAGAAGTCGGTTGCACTGTGGCTACTGGACCTCAACTATGAGGAAACAGAAAAAATGCTAACAATAATTAAATAGTTGAGTTTAAAGTTGATTCTAATCTTTGTTAATAATAGGGAATAAATTTTTAGTATAATAGTTTTAGCTTTATTATCTTTACACTTAAGTGATAAATATAAAACATACACAGACACACACCCACACACATACACATAATTTACACATACATACATCAGTCTCACACAGACTAGCTTTTTCCATTAACAGAAGTAAGAATATAACTGTCACTTGCCTATGTCCTAAGTTTAAGTTTTTGTGAGAAAATAAATAAATTAATTAATAACAAATACTATTTATTAATAATATACATTCAGAAAAAATACACAACACTTAAAATATTTCACTTTTTAAAAAGTTATCTTTACATTGTTCAAAGTCATAAAACACGTCCCTAAATATATTAAAATTATCCTTATGGAATCCTGTTTATCAGCAATTAATTGCAGCTATGCATTTGATTATATAATTCATTCCTTATCCGCTTTAGGTATTTAAATAGGACGCTGCGACCTATTTACTATGAAATACTGTTAGATTGTTATTAATTTTCCTTAAACTAACAATTATTACGAACTAGCTTCTGTCCCACACTTTGCTCGTGTAAAATTTAACCTACGACAAATACTTGGCAATTATTTTGTTAAAAGAGCAGTGCTGGCCTTGCTTCAGTGTCACTCTAATCCCTGGGGCGTTGGTTCGAATCTCATACGCCTTTAACACTCCGAGTGAAAAAAACATATAGTAAATTCGGCATTCCTTAGATCCAAAAACTCGACGTCGTATGTCAGAAGGCTGATCACCTACTTGCGTATTAGATGAATCAAGTGATGGAGGCGAGACCTAAAATAACGTGATTGTTTTTTTAAATCAGTGGTGCTACAACCTCTTTAGGTCTGGACCTCAGATTTCTGAATCTGTTTTATGATAATATTTCAATCTAATAGGCAAGTAGCTGATCAGCCTCCTGTGCCTGACACACGCCGTCGACTTTTTGGGTCTAAGACATGTCGGTTTCCTCACGATGTTTTCCTTCACTGTTCGAGTGAATGTTAAATGGGCACATAGAAAGTACGTTCATTGGTGCACACCCGGGGATCGAACCTACGACCTCAGGTATGAGAGTCGGACGATGAAGCCACTAGGCAAACACTTCTCATTTGTTTTTTTTACTTGCATCAAAAATCATTTCAAATAGGCAGAGAGTTAATTGCCAGTTCTTCTCATCCCTACTACTTGATTTGACTTGCAAGAAATGTAAACTAGGAGTAATTTTATTTAATAATGCAAAAAATTTATATTTTCTCTTTGACTATTATGTATCCAAAATTACGTAGGAACATTCAGTTGGTAGAGTTAGCCGTTCGAATCCTGTATTTTTGATATATCTACTGAATCTATTATAGATTTAGTACTGTGTGTGATGTCGTAAGCTTAATAACTAAATAAATAAATGATCGATGTTCTTTCAGTAAATATCTTTGACCCCATATAATATTACTTAACACAATATTTGAAGTAATTGCTCTCATCATTCAACGAAGCTTATTTTTATTAATTCACTTTCATAGGTATTTAAAAACTTTTAAGCTGTAAAATTCTATCAATGTGTTGTATAATCTATGAGCACAAGTATATGCGAAATATTTTTTTATTCAAATAAGACATCTTGTCAACAGTGCGAACCGGCAGTCCGGACCTCATGTGTTCCATGTTACCCCAGCACTGGCGCTCCAACAAGACCTTGCCTGGAGGTTTCAAGGTCGTCGCCCTTGGGGATATCCTGGATGGCACCCAAGTCACAGTTAGAGCTGGCAACGATGAAAACTGTTCTGCAGAGTTGAGAAATAACACGGCGGTCATGAAGAATAGAGTTGCAAAGTTCAATGACCTAAGGTTCGTCGGGAGGAGTGGAAGAGGTAAATTTTCTCTTGTTTAATGATTTTCTAGCCATTTCAAATTTTAAAAAAAGGTTAATATAGTATATATAACCTTTTTATAGTTAATAAAAACTGCCTGTGTTCTATTTTTTAAAAATAACGCTTGTTTGTAACTTTTGTTTGAAGTTTAATTCAATAGGAAAAAAATGAACATCTTATAGCCTCTGTATTTTAGTTAGCCATTGGAATTAGTCTGATGTCATTACGAATTTAAAAAAGTATTTAGGACTAATCACCGACTTTACATATAGTGGCATATTAGAAGTAATATTATAAAATCACACCCTTTTATAGAAATAAAGATCATATAAGCTTACAACACTATATTATATATTACATATTTTTAACATAAAATCCCACTCAATGTTACTACGAAACAAACATGAGCTCTCATAGTTTAGTTGCGTAGTATCGTACGTCTAAATTCAATTACCATGTAGGCATAGTAGGTAAGTTAGAATCGGATAATAATTGGTTAATCTGGCGTGGACAGCAGTGGATTGCAACCAACGCGTAATAACTGTTATGATTTTAGTTCTCCACTCATATCAGATTATAGATTAAATTATTATTAAGGTACCATTTCAAGGAATAATTGTTTATACATATTAAGTGATTTATTATAGTGTTAAGAAAGAAGACTATAGGTGATATTCCCATCTCTGAGGTCGTGGGTTCTAACCTCGGCTGTGCACCAATATCTTGCTGTCTAAATGCGCTATTAACATTCGTGCGAATGAAAACAGCGTAAGGAAAACGGCCTTATACCTAAAAAGTCGAAGGCTGATCACCTACTTGCCTATTAGTAAAAACAAATGATCACGAAATAGATACAGAAATATAAGGTCTAGACCAAAAAGGTTGTAGCGCCACTGGTATTTTTTAAACAAAAACGAGACTTTAACCGCGTAAAAGTGTTTCATTTTTTTCAGTAAAATGTTAGGTTAAATCAAGCTTAATCTGCCTTACATTTCCCTTTTCAAAACTTCGAAAGTTGATCTATAAACTTGGAAATATTCAATCTCAATAATTATTTTGTGGGTGAAGAATTGAAGATAGTAACTTCGTAAATTTATGATATTAAAATAAATCATATTCTCAAAATCGAACCCTATCAACTTTCTCTTCAAAGATCAAGGCGAGACGGATTTTAATTTCCAAACCACAGACAGTAAACGACGTTCGCACTTTACTGTTCCATTGTATGCGCTGACGCAGTCACCGCCATTATCGACCCCTATGTACTCTTGAGGCAGTAAAATCTCGTATTGCGCCTGCGACTGGCTATCTGCATATTACAAAGGCCGGTAAATAATCTCCTATTGCATACCTATGCAATTTTAATGTTAGCCAACTAGAAGGTCAATGTAGGTAGAAAATTCACTGAGTTTGTGTCGGCATAGTTTTCTTATTGAGTGGTTATTTTTTTTATTAAGATGACTTTAGTAAAAGAATGTGTTAAATAAAAAACACAATCATAATTTTACAAGTATTATCATGTCGTAGTCATATAAGCGTAAGATTTTGTGATCTTAAATTAATCCATCGCATTAATTTACATAATCTCAGTGCAGTAAAGCAATCTTCGTTACCGACTCAAAGAATTCATCAAAACTTATTTTAGTAAATATTTTGTAGTCGAGCAGAAAATATCTTATATATAAAATTCTCGTGTCACAATGTTAGTCTGCATACTCCTCCGAAACGGCTTGACCGATTCCTCTGAAATTTGGTAAGCATATTGGGTAGGTCTGAGAATCGGCTAACATCTATTTTTCACACCCCTAAATAATAAGGGTGGTCCACACCTCAATTTTTTTTTTTTTCATTTTTTTGACAAAATTTTTATTTTTATTTTTTTATGATACGATATTCAAAAATACATACAACCCTAAGTTTTTGCCCTTCTATCACCAACCCCTATTTTTATTATAAATGATATACGAGTACATGGCAAAACGACGTTTGCCGGATCAGCTAGTAACCAAATAATTTTAAGTTTAACACAAGAGATTTGAGAAGTTAAAATGTTTTGCATAAAAATTAAATTTCGAATATCAAATTAATTTGTCATTATGATTTCATCAATGTCACTTAGATGGCTTCAATGTAATTAATACGGGCAAGCTTGACGGCATTATTCTTAAAAATTGAGTAATAATAATAACTAGGTGTTGTGTTACTCAAAAACCTGTTAAACTGATATAAGTGCACTTAATAATGTTTAAATTGCCATTAAAAGCAATGGCACTTTAAACATTACATGTTACTACGTCATTTAGTGAAGATTTTAATTTATTATAATAAGTTCACTATAGATCCAACAGCAAGTTTTTTTTAAAAGTAAATTCGTTAATAAACAAAAATTTATTACATTCTCTACGTAACTTTACATTATATGCAATCCCTCTCACTCTCTCTCTCTCTCTGATAAATTCGAATGTATGTCCCTTAAAAAAATTACTAAATAATTGTGTAAAACTTAGATAATATTAGTATGTGTTAGACTCGATCTAGAACATAGACTACACACTAAAACTAAATCTAAAACTACAACAATAGAACATCAGATTACTTAGGATAGCTTACACTTGAAGCGTCATAAAAAATTACATATAAAAAAACAGTAGTTGATACAGCCGAGTTGTGACGTGATTACTCAAACCAACGAATCTAATTCAAATTGTATTTGACAAGTGGAAGGGTTCTGTCCGGGAATGGGTATTAAAATAAAACGATTCGAAAAGGATGTTGTGATATTAATTTAGATAGACATTAAAAATTTCGGGGTCAGGTGTGGCTTTTTTAAAATTCGGTTGAATAAATTATGAGAGCAGTGTTGGCTTCAGCATGCGACTCTCATCCCTGAGGTCGTAGTTTCGATCACCACCAATGAAAGGTGCACAGCCGGGGACTTTCTTTCAATGTGCGCATTTAATATTCGCTCGAACGGTAAAAGAAAATATCGTGAGGAAACCAGCTTGCCTTAGACCCAAAAGTCGACGGCGTGTATCAGGCATAGGAGGCTAATCACTTACTTATTAGATTGACTAACGGACATGGAACAGATACAGAAATCTGAAGCCCAGACCTAAAAAAGTTGTAGCGCCACTGATTTATTTTTTGAGTAAATTATGAGCATATTTGCGTTTTGTATGGGACGAACAAAAAGTCGCATTTTTTTTAAATAGATAGTCAATTACATAATATATATAATTTAATACTTTGATTAATTAAATATATTATTTACAATGTTCTTAACCTATAAAGTAATAATAAAAATAATTAAAGAAGAAAATAAATAGTAGAAAATAGATAGTCAATTTAATTAATCAATGTACATACCATTGCTATATATGCACTTTTGCCATCTTATATGTATGTACTTAATTGATCCCGTTACTAAAAAAACATCCGGACGGAAATCAATAAAATCTTTGAATGCGGTTTCGACTGCCCCATCAAAGTTAAATATTTTATCTTGCAAGAAATTATCCAAATTTCGAAATAAATCGTTATCTATTGGAGCAAGGTCCGGGGAGTACAGTAGATATTTTAGACATTCCAATTGAAGCTCCTCTAATTTGGTAGCAGTCTGGTGAGCAGTGTGTGGCCTAGCGTTGTTGTGAAGCTGCAGTGGCCTAGAACGATTTACCCGCCTTGGTTGTTTAGCAGCTACCTTTTCCATCATGGTTTGCTGTGCCGTAATCGTCTGGCCAGATTTAAGAATATAATCATCTGGCCAGTTATAGTGAACGAACCCTGCACTAGTCCACCAAACCCTTACAAGTAACTTTTCCGAAGTCAATTTTCGCTTGGAAAAATGAAATGAATCGTAGTTTTCAAAAAACATATGCACGAGTAAATAAAAATGAAATTCCTAACCAAAGAGGAAATATTCGAGGTCAAAGTGGCCAGTACGACAAAACGTCAGTTTCATATGTTAGGACCTAATATATAACATATTCCTTTAAAAAATTTCAGTGTTAAGTTTGTATACTTGTTAGAGATTCCACAAAATGGAAAATATAAAGATAACGCTTCCAATCAGTTTATATACCTACTTAAAAACATTGCCACAGACATTATCTCTATGGTTTGCGATGGTGAACTCTTAATTCCTTTAATTTGGCCTTAAGAATTTTTAATCGCCTATTATTGTTGGCAAACAATTAACACGATATTTTATTAATTTAAAATACAAAAATGTATGTGACGGTGGAACACAAATTGGTTACAATTTCTCCGTCCATCGAAGCGTCAGTTTACAATGTTAAAGTAATAGGTAAAAAGTGTCAAGGTAAAGCTGTCTTCAAAATATAAATTTTTATTAAAGGAATTCGGCTTGTTTTAATTTTCAACTATTTACCGAAATAGATTCCACAAAACAATGTTCTAATATCTCGTCTACCTAAAACAGCTCATTGATCATGCAACGCGAACATTTCCACCGCAAACGCACTGAAAAACGTGTAATAGCGATGTAATTCACAAATGACACTTAGGATTTACGTTCGATCATAAATCAAGATGGCGGCCGTGCCCTCTGCCCACCTGCGCCCGCGTCATAATTGAATATTTCACGCGCCCATCTCAACACCTCCAAAGCTATTTGGATACAATGTTATTTTACAACTTTACGCATTGTGTTAGCTCCTAAACTTGATGAGTGATCATGTAAAATGCATTAAGTTTAATAGCGATTTTAAATGCAATATTTCACATCGTTCACGACACGCCTTTGAGTTTAGCGACCAATGTTTTATGATGATTTGTTTCCGTATTGAAATGTATACGATACTCATTCGGTCTAATGCCGCTTTGTGACGAGCGACAACAATATTGAGACCTCACGGAGTAATACTATTATATTATTTTATAGCTGAAATCGTATATACCCGAACATGACTCGGGTCTCTATATTTTATTCGATGTATGAGGGCTTATTCAAGCAGAGTCTAGTTTGAATCTCGCGCAAATAACAAAAGCCACACGACTATTAGGAAGTATTATATAGACAAATTATTTATTCGTTATTATGCAATGAGAGTCTACAAGTACGAAAAGATACTACATAAATTTAAATTCTGACCTTTAGAAAAGATGGCTTTTAGATATTCTCCATAGTATCCAAATAACTTCGTATTATCTACTAAATCATAATCGGAATTCTACTTCATATTGTAACTCTAAACTAAATAACTACAAATTAATTTATCCCCTAGCTATAGTCTGTTTATTGACAAGTCTTAACACGTTTCAGGAAACGAGTATCACTATCGATGTGAAACACAGACATTTCACAGCTTCGCTATAATTAACTGCGCCCACGCATACTGAAACTACAAAAAACCCAGTTGTAAAAATATTATCACGTATAGAATATAAATTTTCCTGTAATCTAATCTGGCATCCCCAATAAACCCGCAATTTGAAAAAAAATCTTTTTATAATCACGCTACTTTAATCGAGCCAATACATACAAAATTATTTTCTGTTTCTTTTCAATTTTCTTATTCTTGCTAAATATTGATATAGCTGAAGTAGAATATAGTATGTCATTTTACAAAATGTATGTAAAATTATTAATTTTAAGTAGGAGTTTTTGTTGATTCAAAACGGTTGAATCGCCCGGTACTCCGCTAACAAAACTAATTCGAAATAGACAGAAATCAATCATTTATTGCCACTAAATCGAGTGCGCACTACACACGAATTATCTGCATTAGACATGTTAATCCACTCATTTTAACTGTAATTTTATTCCGTATTTATCGGTGCATTCATTACTGTCGACCGCAAATCGGCTTCCAAAAAGCTCGCTTATTTCCATACACGGCTATGTATGGGAATTTTGCGCGGAAACGTCATTCAACAATATTCAACATTAACGTGACCGAAGTCTCTAATGTATTTTACAATCGAGATAATTTATGACTAGACTAGCTTACAATATTAAATTTGTAATTTTATATAAACCTGCGTCGCTGAATACGCATAAGAAAGTAGATATAGTATAATATGGCAAACAAAAAGAATAAGTCCATTTTCCAGCAAGTGAAACAAACTAATATCTTAGTTTGTTAAGATAACCTATCGGTTATCTTGGATATTAGTTTTGTATTTATAAATGAATCGAAATTCAATTTGAAATATACCATTAATAGAAAACAACAATATTTAATTTATAACAAGGACTTCTCGAAAACAAAAGAATCATAAGAAGAGAACGAGAAACAAAAGATGTTTTTGTATATTTGGTTATAATAACTAATAATCTACTAATCTGATTACTTATAGAATATAGCTGTATTATCACTAATTAATTTTATTTTAATGTCATTAGTAGAAAATTTTAACTTTTGTAGAGATCAGAAGAAAACTTATAACATCGGAAACAAAATGTATAAAGCGTTATCTAAGAAGTCGCAATATAAAACTAACGAAGAACTAATTAACTAAAGGAGACATACATGACATAGATTTAATCCAATTTTATTATTCCAGGGAAAAGCTTCTCCTTGACAATTATGGTATCAACATCGCCACCACAAGTAGCAACATACCAAAAAGCCATCAAAGTTACAGTGGATGGACCTCGGGAACCCCGCTCTAAAACTAGTAAGTGCAACACATTTCATTTGTCTAATTTTTATGTGTGACGTATCTCAACATCTAACGTTAAGATTAAACCAAGCAGTGGCGTCATTAATATCACATCACAAATCGACGTGAATGTATCAAAAAGTATGATTTTTTCCGTATAAGTAAATCTTAAACGCATCAAACAAACGAATACGCGAGCTGGATTTAAAAGATATAACTAATTTGCTAATTATCTTACTCCAACGAATACATAAAACTAAATTAAACAAAATTGATTGAACAGATCAATGGTCAGGGGACAATTTGTTATTATTCCATGCTCTGTTCAAAAACCGCACGAGCGACGTAAACAATTAAAATATCAATTCTATAAATGTAAAATTTTCATACATAATACTTTACCTACACAGAAATGTTAGAACAGTAAAAATTAGCTAAAAACGCGTCTGGATTACAAGAACAATGAAGACAAGTAAAAGAAGAGTAATGGACGCACAGAAAACGTACCCGCAAGTACGATAGGTATATATAGTAAAAATGACGGACCCTTTTCAACTTTAATTATCACGGCTGCTGTTTGCAAAACACTTTAAAAAAACAAAATCGTGAGCTTCATAATTCAGTTTCCAAAAGTTCATAAATAACAAAATTACGCTGACAATATAGGTATTTGTGAAGTTTTAAATGGTTGAGAGAGGATATAAAATTTCTACTAATCTGTTTGTAAAATATTAGAATTTTATGGGATATATGTTTACCAATAAATATCGCTATCTTAGTCGGTTTTAGTCGGATTTGGAAAACATCTTAATTCGACTTCGGCATGACGCTGGCACAATAAACTTACTGACTATAATATACTGTTTGCACACTAATATAGCGTTTAACATCGCTCTAGGAGTCACACGGAAAAGTTGTAAAAGATCGTCAAAAGGTTTTAGTAAATAATTTATAACTAACATTATATAATCCATTTAATAGTATCAAAGTATAAAGTAACACAGATCGCGCTATTAATATTCAAACTACTGTTTGAAACAATCTATGCGTGTTTGTAGCGCGGCTACTATCATAAATGATAACGTTTTCTTCCCACGGGACTTCGTTGATATGATGGCCAAGCAGCGAAGGCCGGTATAGCGATAGTGATAGTGATAAATTAATAATATTAGAAAATGGCCAAAGTAGATAATTTAAATTAGGTCAAATTAAATTTTTAATTAGACCTAATGAAAAATTTCAACTTAAAGTAAACTAGATTTTTTTGTTACATTTGACTATAATGTCACCAAAGTACTACTGTAGTAGTGTTACTGTAAGTGTTAGTTTTGTAACAGGATATAATATTTACATGTTAGGGATTCCCTTTTTCTTGGCTTACCTACCCAAGTTTACACTATTTTGACTATAACCGTTAACACTGATGATTAATTTTTATTGCAAAATACACCTTATCACAAGGTAATAAAATACGACATTACAAGAGACTTCAAAGTTATAATAAAATAATTTATAACGGCGCTGGCACTTCAACATCACCAGGCTCTGAGGAAACCGATTAGATGTAGCAATTACCTTTAATTATTATTTTTCTATCGTGACATTACTTTAATACAATTTATTCTAGAGGTCTGTGCACTTCACCGGGTGAACTGGCTTCACACAGCAAACAAGCTTTATTATCACAAAAAATAAAATATCCTTATAATTTGAGATTTTCTTTTAGTAATTCATAATACCTTATTAAAATTTCTTCATATTGCCTTTACATCCGGAGAACCTTCAAAAGATATCGAAATTGCTTGAAACGTTACGCCATATGGAGAGAAGCCGGCGGCAAACAATAGCGGAATTATATCTTTAATAAGTTGAACTCACGCACTCCGCAACTGCCGTATCAGCTTTGAGCTGAATGACACTTACAGACCGAAGTATGGACAGTTTTAGGGGGCAAAGGGACAGACTCGCCTGCCATTGAACCAAGGAGTTATGTATATGTGTGAAATGTTTAGGTAACAATTACAAGTACAACGTCAAATAACTTTTTTTAAGTAACGTTAGCGACTAATTAAAAATGGTTTAAAGCGATATGTTTTACCATTCAGTTGGAATGAGTTTTGAATGAGGAATGGGACAGACATTTCTGCGTACCTTTTGACTGTCAGAAACTAATATAGTTATGGCTCGCTACCAAAACGTACCTTATTTTTATAAATTATTAAATAAATATGATTTTCATATGAAAAATGATGATGATTTAGTTGCTTACAACCTTTTAGGTCTGCGCATCAGAGTTCTATGTGATCATTTGTTTTTTTTAATAGGCCTTCTATGCCTTCACACGCATCACATTTTGGGTCTAAGGTGTGCCGTTTTCGTCGCGATGTTTTCTTTCACATAGAAAGGTCATTAGTGCACAGCTGGGTGACGAACCTACGCTAACCATTAGGCCAACACTATTCTGATTCTAGTTATAGTCAATTATAACGCACGCAATTATTAATGTTAATTTTCTTATTGTATTTTAAAACCTAGCATTAATTGTGAAGATTAAGAAACTTTTAGTATTTATTTTATATTTTCGTTAAGTAGTTTTATAATTCTGTATGGTTACTAGTAAATTCATTTTCGTAACGAACTTCTTGCACATTTGTCATAGTATTTTTATCCTTATTAGATTTATCTGGAGATCGCTTGTTGGCGATAAGGATGCCCGTTGCCTCGCCTATTTTTACTGTACCCTTAATACAAACTGTTTTATAAAAAAATAAAGATTTACGTAGTGCATAAAAGTTACAATGTCTGCAATATAATAATAATATATTTATTCATTGTTTAAACAATATAAATTGACTAAATGTACGGCCATAAAAAAACCACTAAGGATAACTTTTGGTGCTTGAAGGGCCACAGTACACATTCAATTACCTAAAAAGGCTAAACAGAAAAAAAGTGTTTACAATAAATTCAACAAAACACAGATTGAAAAAAGGATTTGTTGGTACTATATACCGTGTGTATATGAGCCAAGCAATCGCACCCCGGGTTTTCCAAGAAACACTCTTTACCCTTGTAATTCCCTGTTATACTAAGATTTGAGGGGCATTATCAAGAGTATTACGTAAATGAGAGTAGTATTTATATTCTACACACAAATACCGGGACATCCATAAACGCGTGTCGCGTGCCAGAACGACTAATCAGAATAAACAAAAGCGAATCCCGCTTACACAGATATCCCAAAACAAAGAGTGTAGGGGACAAAAAGCGTACTTAAATCATAAGCTTCAAACTCCAGAGGACAAGAAAGGAATCGCGTGCACAAGGGACTTAAAAGTTTGACTTAATAGACTTAATTTGTAGGTGCCCCAGTGTAAGCCGCTTCACAGCGACCCTTGTTAGTGAGGTACTCATCGATATCGATAAATTACATCATATTTATGACAATGTTAAATGAAGCTTCTTTATTTTATTAGTTATTACACATAAGGATAATAACAATAATGTGTTTAAGTAACTAAAATACGTAGAATTTCCGGTTAAATCCCTCGATAAAAGGTCACTCATATTAATAATTGGACAACGGAAATAATAACATGAATCACTCGAACATATTACTTAAAAATGTTGTTCTTCTATAATTAAGTATACTATACCCTAATGAGTGGTGGCCTAGTGGCTTCAGCTTCCGAATCTCATCCTGAGGTCGTAGATTCGATCCCCGGCTGTCCAGCAATGGACTTTCTACGTGCGTTTTTAACATGCACTCGAACGGTAAAAAAGGTAGCTCCACTGAATTTTTATACTATACTCTACTTTCTCACTTTTAATTATTTAAATTCTTGAATTATTTTTAAATTACTTTCTGAAAAGTGCAAGCGTTTAAACTGCCTCATAACATACGTAACAATCCAATCCTAAAGAAATTATCGATAATGATACCCATCCCTAATCCACGACACAACAACGATTAGCTCCCTGCATTTGTTTGTGTCGATTTCACAAGATAATTGCATCGATACATTTTGTATTATATAAACTCATAAACTAATTATCTGCATATTTTTTCCGCAAAGAAATTATGTCGGCGTGTCTCAAACAGGCGGCTCGCCCTATTATTTCTGGCTAACCAAAAAAATATTACCTCTAATAAGGTGATTGACACAGGGCTATTTATTTTGGATCAGGAAATGCAATTTGGACTATTCTTCCTTTAGTCACGGAAGTCCACACGCAATAGGATTCTCTTTTCAAAAAAAAATTGTTTTAATAGCAAAACTATGTATCAAAAATGCACCTATTTTCCTGTTAGATAAAAACGATCACGAAAAATACAAAAATCTGTGGCGAAGACCTAAAAGGTAGCACCGCTGGTTATTATTACTATTTAAAAAGTTTTAATATTAAGCTTAAAATTACAAGAAACCTTAAAAAACATAAAATCAACTTACCGATAATAAACGATATCTCCCAGACAAATATTCCTTCATAATAATCTAGTGGGTTACCAGTATTTAGGCTCGGATCACATCCGTTTCTTAGATAATTGGTAGACAAGTGTTTGAGCAAGCCTGCTTTCTGGTGCATGTCGTAGATTTTTGGATTTGAGTGGTTTCCTCGCGATGATTTCCTTCACCGTACGCCAGTGTTAGATGCGCACATAGACACAAAGTCTATTATTTAGTGCATGACCGGGGATCGACCCTACTACCTCAACAATGAGAGTAGCCACTACTGTTAAAATATGCTTTCATAACTCTTTTTGTTTTAGGTACAAATGCATCACCTCACCAAATAAGAGCAATAGGGTTCCAACGGCCGTTCATAGCAAGCACATCAATGTCCCTACGAGATTTAGAATACAAGACATCACCCCGGCTGCGGTCGCTGTCGCACGAGGAAAGAGAGTATAAGACTAACGCCAATTTACCACCTGAAGGTATGTATAAACAGTAATTTTAAATATGCGATACAAAATCCTAAAGCCTAATTCAACTGTGAACTCAAACCAATCATTGTTCCAATCGAACCCTGGATCTGCTAGATATATTTGCGTTATTTATTTATTTCGTACTACTTCAACTTAAATTATATATAACAAAAACTAAATATACTAAAGATGGAATACATAAGTATACAAAAACATAAAAAAATATTAAATACACTTAACTAAGTAATTCGGCTGTGTTGTGTGATAGTGTGAACGTGAGGGTATGTACGTGAGAGTGTGAATATAGGTTATTTAGCGCTATGGATATTCTTAATATGTACTAGGAGTATATTCCGTATAGCATGTTATATATTAAACAAGTCGAGTCTTAAATAGTGGTCGTAGTATGACCGGGCTGCGCTAGAAAAATCTGAGTTTTGTGCTGAGCCTGAGTTTACTGAGTATTTTATCATATTAAAATATTTACCTAAATTTAAATTTAAATCCGTAAATAAACACTGACTCTAAGATTGTTTTTAACCATTTTAATTATAAAAAAAATAATGCATAAAATTCAATACATACAGTGTACTTTTCACACAGTAATTTAGTTTTTTTTATAATTTTACTTAACACTGTTAATATAAAGATTAATGTTTAGTTTAATTGAATTAATTATATTTAAAAAACTTTTTCTACTGCATACATCTTAACATTGATTGTAACCTTTCTCTACTAATGAGATCATTACTAATGAGCGTCTATCGGGACTGATTATATTTTACTCTTTCAAAGTCAAAAGTCAAATCATTTATATCAATTAGCCCATCTAGTTGCCCCTTCCAAAAGGTAGTTTCGTGTGGAGAAGAATGGGCAAGAAACTCCACACTTAAATATAATATAGCTTTAACAAAATATACTCTTTGTGTACTTATTAGTAAATATTATAAACCGCAACCACATGTTTTTTAACGCCATCTAGTAACGTTCCCCCGTAACATATTTCCTAATAAGCTATGCAATTAGATCTAAAATTGTGAATGCTCTAACAAGTAAGCTAAATGCATTAGTGTTCACACTCATTATCATTACTTCATTCACAATCACGATCTAACCGACTACGTACCATCTTATTTGTGAACTTACCGTAGTCTTAATAAACTATAGAGTGGACTGTAAATGGTCGATTCTTACTATTGATTGATTTCTAACATTTAAATTCATTTGCGTCAAATTATTTATCTTAGTTCAAGAATAAAAAAGGTCCTTTAACTTTTTGTATATTCATTAAAATAAATATTTTTATGTTCATAAAACGAATAGTATAACACTGTCATATTCCTCACTCCGTGATTACAATTTGTCGAAGGGACAAATGAAGAGATAATATTTCATAATTAGAGTAATTTAAAAACATTTAGTAACCACAATTTTATATTCCTTTACATTGTCTCGATGCCTGTTCTACATTTTTTTTGTTTAACCGCGTTCTAGTGTTGTTTAAAGTTTCTATAATGTGTATAATTAAAAAATAAAAAAAACCAAATTCCAGAGTAAATTTTCGTGCCTTCTCTATTTATTCGTAAGGCAAAAGTTCATAAGCTTTGGGGCGTTTAAAGCAATCCCGGCAGCGACTTTCATCAGCACGACGCGGCAATCTGCGCGCGCGCCTAATGACGCACATTACTCGTGTTATTAGCCCTCCTGACTTATGACAACTCTGATTACCAAATCATTTTTTTTACATGCTATAGGTAAAGCAACTTAATCTAAATCTATGACGTGACTAGTGAACGGTGTTGGCCTAGTGGCTTCAGCGTACGACCTTCTTCCCTGAGATCGTAGGTTCGATCCCCGGCTGTGCATCAATGGACTTTCTTTTTATGTGCGTATTTAAAATTCGCTCGAACGATGAAGGAAAACATCAAAGACATTAGACACCGGCTTGCCTTAGACCCAAAAAGTCGCCGGCGGGTGTCAATCACAGGAGGCTGATCATATACTTGCCTATTAGATTGACAAATGATCATGAAGCAGATACAGAAATCTGAGGTCCAGATCTAAAAAGGTTGTAGCGCTGTTGATTTATTTACTAATCTATGACATATACCGTTTCTTTCAAATTTGTATATCTATATGACGTCCCGCAATCCTCCAATACATTCCCATTCTGCGTCGTTATACAACCAACAGTATCTAATGCTACAAATTTTTGTTAGCATATTTGACGACTCATTGGTCTAGTGGTTAGTACCCCTGACTACGAATCCATGGGTCCCGGGTTCGATCCCCGGCTGAGACGAACATCGATGTGATGAGCATTTGGTGTTGTGCTTAGGTCATGGGTGTTTAAATATGTATTTATATGTCTATGTATATATAATATGTATGTACCAATAAAATGTATGTATATCCGTTGCCTAGTACCCATAACACCAAGCTTCACCAGCTTAGCATGGGACTCGTCTTTAAAAAAAAAAGTAACACTCTCCTAAGTTTGAAAATCGCATGATATACTAGTGTATGTATATATTACTTTGTATTTATTATCCTAAATGTATACAGGAAAGTCAGTCGCATTACAAACACAAGATTGTACAATGCCTACAGAATTGCCTACTCAAATACGTGTAAACGGGGATGCCGTGGGCGCAATCGGAACAAGTCCATTATAGATGAATGATGAACACCTTGCACCCCAACAATCATCGTACGATATAATAGGCATTCTGATTATTTGTATCGATTTGTTTGAAAACTGAACTGAATTGTGTACATCTCTTATAGTGCATTGAGTAATTAGAATTGTCTAGAAACTGTGGAAACTTAATTAAACTATTAATTAATAACCGATGTAAGGAACATAAGCAAAGTATTTATGTTTCAAATTGAAGGCTGCAATTTCTAAACATAATAAAGAAAATAAGTAAAAATAATATAAAAGACCAGAAAGGCAAGGTTTTTTTTGCGTCTTTTATGCTCTGAGTTATTTAACATGCATAAAAATATACATTGCATCAGTCTGGTTTTGACAGGAATTTTAATGTTACCCTTTTCTACCTATATCCAATAAACCATTTGCAAACGCCGAGAGCTGCATATTTGACGACCGCATTTTGTACAACAAAGTCAACGACTCGTTTTTATTACGACAGGTTAAACATGGGAGTTATTACATTCTGTCTATAATACTCTTAAAATTAACCTCCATTAAGACCTTGTGACATATTAAAGTTCTTCGTATAGAGTACCTTATATAGTTGTGTAATAGTTTGCGGAAAATCCCTTTTACGAAAATAATCGAAAATGGTTTTAATAATTTACATGGAATAAGGAAAAATTGAATTCGTAATTTAAATATTTCCACCATACAACATGATTTCTGTTCATAACGACTAGTCAACGACCTCAAGTCTACGAGAAAATAACAATAACATCAAACGCGATCACGAGAAAAAACCGACGACTGCGCAGCCGACAGTGTCATTACGACGGACGGTTATGAGTTAGAAATATTTATTATTCGTTTCTTAAAAATGTATTACAGAATTTTATTTAGGATCCGAAAATTCCTGGACTCGATGCCCGATAGTAGGTACAATATATTATATAACAGAGAATATGATAAATCAAACAAACGCGTTCATACATTCAACGTACAAAATAATTGCGTGAAATGTGTGTATTTAATATCAGATAAAAACAATTACTATTTCAATAATTATTTAATTACACATTTTTATTTACGTCTTTCTATATTTTATAGAATATAATTACATAATTATAATACTAATATTTACCGCAATTAATACTAAAACTCAAATTAAACAGGAATATTTCACAATATCATTGCTAACGCTAATGACATGTCATTATGAAACAGTTGATTACTAAGCGAATGATTGAATTTACGAATTTCACACCTATTAAAACTCGTTGAATGAACTAAACCGAAGGAATCGAATTGAATGAACCCAATATTACATAGCACCTTATTTCCGGCGTATTTTCGATTTGATTGATCAATTTCGATGATCAACTCGGGGGCCGTGATTGGCTACCGGGGAATATTATCTCTCTAGATAAAAATAAAGCATTATAATGTAGAGCAGGTTCGGTTTGTGGTTACACTTATTCAAATAAAGTCAATCTTGGCGCAGGCCGTGTGAAAATTTGATAACGAAACTATAGATCGATGGGGCTGCAGAAATCGAGGGGCAATGGCTGCGGTTACAATACGCTTCTGTGGGAAGCAATAACGTGTATGGATTAGCAGACTAAGCCGTGATCTCTCGCCAAATCATTTGACTGATAAATGCAGGTGATAAGCCTACACTTGCTCTTTGGCTTTTAATGGTAAACAAAATACTGATATGCACATGTCTAGAGATTTTTCGGTTTCGCTATAAGTATGCTATGCATTATCTTACTTAATTGGTTTTAATTTTGTATACCTAAACTGGATCTGGTTAGGTTTTCATGTAATTTTCACATTTTATAAGCATTTGCTTGTCCTCATTTTAACATATGTGATGTTTGAGATCATAAAAAAATAAAATGTTTAAGAAATCTTTATTCAATAGAACATTTATTCATTCATAAATAAAGTGATGTTTTTCTGTTACCGATGGCTAGTATTTGATATTTTTACTTAATGTTTGGAGACTTCTCTGCACCTGTCGCGCACGTGCAAACGCGCAGACTTACAAACGCTAATAATTCAATCAAAAACAGGTGAAAAATAACATTAAAGTGTTAAGTTTATCTATCAAATGTCTTCATCCCAAAACTACTATTAAACTGTAATAAAGGATATAAAAAGATTTTCAAGGGCATTAAAACTATTAAAATGTATGGTAGGCGGGACCGTGTGGGCTGCAATAAGCTTCCTAGCCGCAAACCACAGCTCCTGGTTCATCGGGACAGTTATCTTCGGCTTATTTTCTATTATCATTCACATTTAATAGTTAACCTTTTACCGTCAACAAATATTAATGAGCTCGAAATTGTAGCTGTCATACTTTTAAATGGTTGTTATACTTTCTTAGTAATATTATTTGAATAATTGATAAAGTATTAATAGCTTTATATTTCTTTGTTATATCTAGTTCTTTCGTTTGATACACCGTATAGAACAAAGAATAATTATAACTTTGTTATAAATATTATATTAAAGTTTGAAGTATCTTATGATACTCGTGAATAATATGCCTTTATACAAGTGAAGAACATTTAAAATTCATTTCAGAATCCGCTTAAAACAAATATTGTTTTTAAAAATAATTTTATTAGTCACTCGTACCTTAGGAGCATTCTTCATACTATATAACATTCATGCGTCTATTAAGACATGGTTGGTGGACAAAAAATTGTTAGCATGGTAACAAACAGTCCACGTTTCATAATAAGGCTACTTTTGTTTTTAGCAATTACTGCAATCGGACTGCAGTGACATAAGTCAAGCCATCTTTTATTCATCTAATCCCGATTTTCCCCCATCACGAGGACTATTTTCTATTCGCGTTTTATCGCAAATGTAATTTTGTTAGCGCGGTCAATCACTGACCACAGAGAAAAGATCACGGTCGTTGGACACTTCTAATACGGTGAAATAAAATCAATGACGCTACGCGGTAAAGCAAATAATTTTGGGAAACCTTTAACCTAATCTGTGATATATTTAAGCATTTTGGGTTAGAGTTTTAATATCTTTCTATCGAACAAGAGATCCTCAATTTAACCTCTTTCCTTATTTTACCCAACGAACCTCATTTTTCTGTATATGTATTATTCTAGGGGAAGGTCAGGATTCCTTCGTACAGTTTTCACATTTTATTTTTTATTATTTTTATTTTTCCATGAATCAATCATCTGCAAGCTTAAATTTATAGTCTAACTATCTGAGATTCATATAAGAAAATGACAAATGATTTCATCTGATGGTTCAACCATAATTATGATTTAAACTAAATCTGGAAAACGTACGAATCTACCCCATCAACGGGGCACCTTCGTACAGTGTTGAGGGTACCTTCGTACGCTGTGGGGTAGTTCCGTACGTGCGATTAAAACGACACATATAAATCAAAATTCATTTATTAGCAATGAAATTAAACACAAAAATAAAGATTTAACTTCTAATAAACAAAAATAAAATACTTTAATTATAGTGAACAAAAATTACATAGCTTTTCTTAAGAAAACCAAAATTTAATTAGTTAGGTATCTTAAATTTAGAATCACATTCTTTAATCTTTGGTGCGGATTAGCACTTCTTATTTTCGGGTGTGGCAGTATAAATTCGTGGTTTTCCTGGCCGTCGTCATTTTGTTTGTTTTATTACTTCTTACAACATGCGTATAGAGTCGAAACCCTTAAGGTGTCAAAACTGACTTCGAAGGAACTACTATTTGATGGATTGGTAAATTATTCAAAGCATCTGGTTCACAGGCATCAAAATCAACCTTAATAAAGATAATAAAAATAGGTATTAATATACATCGACGATAGCAATGATAGCAACACAGGACAAAGTTAATGCAAATATTAGAGCAATTAGCACACTAACACAATCTTTCCTACCTACCAGAGGGTTTAGTCAAGATGCCTTATTATTATTTGTATGTAGCAAGTCGAAAACTTAATTTGTATGAAAACGACAGTTCGTGTCGACAAAATATTTTCATACAAATTTAGTTGTACAATTCGTTCAAATGTGCCCCATCTAGTGCTGTCCGAAAGTACCCCACTAACTGAATAACAACAAAATATAACTTATTTTAATATTAATAGGAAAACGTCATAAATTAAGTATTGGAGACGTATCTAAGTATATTTTGCTAGTTACTGATAGAATACTCTACACGAAAACTTATTTTATCTACGGTAACAAGAGACAAAAACATTGATCAAAAAATTACTTACCGAGCGCGAAAACACGTCCATGCCTGTAACTTCATTCTCATCGGTGCGAATTTCGCGAAACTTCGATTATGTATAGTTCGTACCTCGACTCATGCACACATACAAAAACAAGACTGTACTTTGTTTCGTTCAAGTTTTATTTCGACTGTATGAATGTGCCCCGCGTACGAAGGGTAACAATCTTCCCCTATATACATTTATTACATCAAAATTCTAAATCATTTATTCTTTTCTATAGATTACACAATGTACACTTATGAACGTTAAAAAAGAAATATATAGGAAATGCTTCTAATTTTACATTTACTGCCAGTTCTCAAGTCAAGGGCGAACGGAAGAGAAGAACTGGCAAAAACTCTCCGCCACTCTTGATAATCGCCAAGTTTTTTGTTTTGCACAATGTTTGTAAGGAGCTGCAACCATTACACCATGTTCCACATGACATCTTAAGAAAGCGGTTTTCCGGTTTTGTCATAGACTACAGTGTTTAATTTGCATCGTACTTGGATCATCGTTTATGATCAAACTGTAATTCCCATATCGATTTTGCACAATGCGCGCACGTTTCTCAAATGGTTGTATTCTTCTTGACTTCAGGTGGCCTAATGTCCCGCATTTGTGGTCGGCGGCAGGATACGCTTGTACCGTAATGAGCAGCACATAACGAAACCTTACAAATAATTCAACCCATTAAAAAACAACCGAATCACGTACTATCCTCCAGAGGAAAACGAGTATCGGATAGCACAAA